CTTTAACCAAGGCTTTTGTTTAAATTGAAGAACTCTATGAATTTTTACTAGTTTCATACCTAAATCCAAGTATAATTTTAAATTTCTATAGTGTAAAATGTACTGCTTTTTATGATAAAGAGTTGTCATTCATTTCGGAATTTTACACTTTAAATTGGGTGGTACAAAGTGTTGTGGACAAAGAGGTAAATCCTTATGTAAATCATGTAATTCAACAGGATATTCTAAATCAACTTCAAGAATATATCCAATTAATGACTCATCAGATATATTTTTAAAATCGATTTTTGAAAAATCCTGTACCCATATAAATTCTTTATAAGGTAAAAATTCACTCATAGCTGCACCGTATTGATTATTAATATCAAAGTACATAATGTATTTTTCTGGTAAATTTTCATCATATTTTTCCCCCATATACCTGTTGTTAGCTTTTGAATATCTATTTGAACATTGTGATACTCCGCCCTTAATTCCAGATTCAATAAATAGCAACATTTTAGAATCTGTTAATAGTTCAAGTTTTATATCTGTCAATTTTAACATGGTGTCAAAAGCAAGTCCCGGTGCAGTGTAGTAATGCAAAGGATCTAATTTATGAGTGGAAATGCATGTTTTTCTAAAGTTTTCAAAAATATCGGTAAGAAGAAGAATATCTGTTTTAAGATAAAGATCAGAATACTCTCCTAAATTTTTTAAATTAAATGTTTTCCATACATTTTTAGCATGAAGATAGTCTTCGTCTGAAATAGTTTCATTGTTTAATTTTTAAAAAAATGACTGTTTCGGAGGAAGACATTCTTCATCCAATCGTGCCCATGAATCAATGTATTCGTATGGGAATACACCTTTTCTTATTAACAATTTAAATTGTGCATCGTCTGTACAATGCTTTTTTGTAATTTCTTTTTCATTGTCAGTTAAATAGGATGCTAATTTCTCTAAACTACTTGCCATAAAACGAAACGAGTCAATAAATCGATATTTAATTTTAGTCTTATCCACATCTTTTGTGAATGAAAGGTATTTTTCTTTATTTATAGGCAATAAACTGATATTTTCATCAAAACCAGTTGCAAGAGCTCTTATAAAAAAATGTTGATCATAACCTGATAAATTGTGAAAAACAACGGGAATAATGTGAGAATATTTAAAATTTACATTGCAGCCTTGATGAGCAGGACCGCGATATCTGCCTGTAAAATGGCAATGATCATGATGTTTAATGTCATTTATTTCAAATGGTTTTTCGCAAATGTGACATAATTTAGCAGTTTCAAAGTCTTGCATTTGTTGTTGGGTCAATTGTTCCATTGGGACAATATTTGAAAAAAATACTCTATTTATATTACTCGCCATATTCTGTAATTCATTCATAAACCATTGTATACAGTCCTCACCACGATAAAGATTTGTATGTGAGAGTGACTCATCAAAGCTGCACTGCATGGTATAAATAAGCTACGCTTGTAGGCACGTGCCTTTGAACGTTGCATGTGTTTTCGTCTGTCTCTGCAATAGGCTCTAAAAGGCATTCTGTATCGGCTTATATTACAAACGGAACCTTATCTTTAAAACGATAATTTTTAAATTGGACAGTATTATTATTCTCATCGGGTAAAATTACTTTACACTTATTCGTATTCTCACACGCTAATCTATGTCTTTTATATGAGTTATTGTCAAAAAAACGACAAAGGCAGCGATCACATAATAACAAACTTTGTTTCTTTTTAGTTACTTGTAATCTTACAAAACGGGAAAGATTCTTCATTAAAGCAAAATGGTATATTGGTTTCAAATTATCATTTTCGTTTTCATTAATTTTATTAGTCTCTATCATTACTAAATGTACTACAGGATAATTTTCTTTTTCTTTACTTAAATAAATAGGAACAATATCAGTATATTTATGTTTTTTATCAAAGTCATCTAATCCATAAATATTTATTTTTAAATTATTCATTTTTTCAAACTTTTTAATATGAGAAAAACTGATTGGAAATTCAATACCATCATATTTTAATATAGTACTGTAGTGGGGATATGAGCTAGTGCGAGTTACGTGATCTCTTGCAGGAAATAAAAAAGCTGTTATTGACCAAAGAAAACAATAAGGGTCATTGTTCTCAATGTTAATTACAGCTTTCTTATTTCTAATCATTAATGGTAAATCTGTATAGGTGGAATATCCAACTTGAAATGCATCATATCTATTAATATTTACAACTAAATTAATAATTTCTTTCAAACTCCAACCCGATTCTTTTTCTTCAAATTTCTCAATTTCTACCAATACACAATCTCTGACTTTATTTATATACCAATCATCTAAATCTGTTGTTGGAAAAATAATTGAATTTCTCGTACTAAAATACTTTATTTGATCAATCATTTCCCCTTGTTTTAAAGTTTCAAATCTACCGTAAAGAATCAATCACGCTTCTCACCCAACTTCAAGGCCTTCTCATAGGCCCACACGTGCTCACACAGACACGCACTCACACGTACACACATCTCGCACTGACACGCACTAATACCAATTGGTCCAGAAGCCCCCCTGTATATCTACTTAGGTGCAATTGATGAAAAATAACACTTAGAAGAAGTATTAACTATTAAAGCAATTGCAAAAGCTTCAAAGTTGTTAAAGTTACATAAGTGTAACATTACGAACTTTCGTTTCATTCAATTAATTGATCATAAATAAATTTATTAAAAGGGAATATTATTGTTTGTTGTTAACGCAAAACCCGTAGTTTTGACAAGTATGTACAAACGATCCTACTTAAAAATAAAGGTCAAGCTTTACCAACTTGACCATAACACAGTCCGACAAAATTTTATTAATTGCATGTTAACTAAAATGTTATAGCCGATTGTTATAGGATTTTGTCCGTAGAATCCGAATTTGACCTTGAAAATATTGGATTGGCTCTAGTTTTCAATCAACTTACGTTTCAATACGCCAAATACGCATTTTTTGAATGGATATAAAACCATACACCGAAACAGTCAATTTTTCCGCGTAGGACCAAATTAAAGCTTAAATACTGCTCTATAATATCCAAAAACAAAAAATTTCATTTATATACAAATTTAACCTTTAATGTCCAATTAGACATACGCTGTTCCATAAACGTAATAAAAATAACATTACTTTCGACCAGGTAAGTCAATCTAAGTAAAAATTAGTCTCCCTAGGGCTTTTTGTCGTCGCTGTTTATAAATCTGCTATGAAATATATAAATTAAAAATGGCGGACCAATTTTAAAAAATTGTTTACACCTTTATGATAAAAATGTAAAATTAAAAAAAATTCGCCATATTGAATCCGCCATTATGAATATTAAAATCTGAATACAGATTTGTAAGCAGCGACCACAAATACCCCCAGAGAGACTAATTTTTACTTAAATTGACTTACCTGGTCAAAAGTAATGTTATTTTTATTGCGTTTATGGAACAGCGTATGTCTAATTGGACATTAAAAGTTAAATTTGTATATAAATTAAATTTTTTGTTTTTAGATATTACAGAGCAGTTTTTAAACTTCAATTTGGTCCTATATGCAGAAACATTTACTGTTTCGGTGTATTGTTTTACATCCATTCAAAAAATGCAAAAAATGCGTATTTTGACAATTAAAACGTAAATTGCTTGAAAACTAGAGCCAATCCAATATTTTCAAGGTAAAATTCGGATTCCACGGACAAAATCCTGTAAGAATCGGCTTCCATTGATTATATTGACAATGTCAAAATTGTTTGTTCGAAGTCATAAAATATAATTATTTCAATTAATTAAATTATAGTTATAGTTATACATTAGAGGTGTGCATTTAATCGAGTCGAACCGAACATTAATCGACCTGACAACAGAAAATTCGAATCGGAGATAATTCAAATCGAATTTTGCACACCTCTATTATACATTATAGTTGTTAATAGTAATAAACATAACTTCCAATTTATATTTTACTCTTATAAAAAAAATTCGAATTAAAATTTTTTATATTAATTCATTTGTAAAATTGTTAATTTTATAAAAAATAGTAAACTAAAAGCTAACCGCGCGCGTCAGCGCGTGAATTGTTGTTGTCATCATTATAATAAATAATTAAATACCTAAGAACAACAAATATATGTATAAAAATTAAAGTAAACTAAAAATAATATAATATATATTCATAACTGGTCAACTTCATAATGCCTGCGCGGGCAGGCAGCATTAAAACTCACATAAACATCTAGTTTATTATATACTATTTCATTGCTTATATTAAAAAATTCATTTTATAATTTTTGGGGCCCCTAGTTCGCCGGGGCCCTGGACAATTTAACCCACCAAACCGTCTATTGCTACGCTACTGCTCCCACCCCTTTCTCACCTCCATCCATCCTCGTCCCTTATTCATACCTTTTCTTATCTCTCTATCCTCTCCTTCTCCCATTTAGACAATTCTTTTTTTCTTTTTATCTCTCTTTCTTTAACTTGCATTCAACATATTCGCGTCCAATTGCACCCTCTACCCTGTCTCATCTTCTCCTCAAAACCCCAAGTCTTGTTTCTCTACTTTACACATATTTTCTCTCTACCAAATTCCTCTCTTAACATATATCCCGGACAATTTCCACTTACACCCATCACCCATCGCAAATATTTTTCATGCATGCTTTCCACTTTTTTCATTTCCATCCATCCCGATACTTCCACCCCATATCTTACCACACTCCATACTAACATATCAAACAACCACAATCTTCTTTTCCAGTCATTCTTAAACCTTCTTTCCCCTATCCCCAATACTTACCCCATTATTTTACTCGCTCTTTCTAATCTTTTACTTACATTCAATTCATGCCCATCATTATACGTAAACCAAAAACCTAAATAACAAAATTCATTCACTTCTTCAACCACACTTCCATTCATTTTCCATTTATTCTGTCCCTCATCTCTCTTACTCATAAACCTCACAATATTTGTTTTCCCTACATTCACCCATAAATCTTTTTTCTCACATATTTCTCGAATTTTTTCATCAATAACCTCATTCCTGCCTCCTTATCTGCCATTAATACTATATTATCTGCATACGCAAGTGAGTAGATTTTTCCTTTTTCTAATTTTATCCCTCCTTTTCCTCTTCGCTTCAGCTTTTCTTCCAAATCCGCCATTAATAAGCTGAAAAGAATGGGGCTTAACGGACAACCCTGCATGAGCCCTCTTCCTAATGCATGAGCCATCAGTTTTCCTACTTTTTCCCTTAAATGTCTATTTACCACATAGTTTAGGGTGTAGACATGGTCCATCGTGCCCATACCTGTCCTAAATGCTGCTTGATTATGTGGGATTTCTCCATTCCTCTCCACCTCTTTTTCCAACCTGCTTCTTAACACCTCTGCGTAAGCTTTGTAGCTTACTGGCATTAGTGTTATCTCCCTATAATCTTCTAATTTCTTTCGCTCTACTTTTTTTACCAGTGGTACTATAAGTCCGGTTTTCCACTCCTCCGGCCATCCTTCCCCCATCCATACTTTATTCACGATTTTCCATATTTCCACCCTTATTTTCTCTCTCCCATACACTGAGAGAACTCCAGGGCGTAATAGTTACCGCTAGACGTCGCTATAAGCTACTGTTCTTGTTGCGTTTGAGATGTTTCGAATCTAAGGCTCAGACGCCCCGAGTCTGTCAAACATTGTTCCCGCATGTGAGAGAACAACTCGTGACCGAAACTAAAAGTTGTAAGTAATCCCGCTTCGGGACGTTCCACGTTTTTTATCGGGGCTTCAGACGTCCCGATCGAGGGTTCACATAAGAACATTCAAAATTATCACTCAAGCCTCGCACGGGACGTATTAGTTCCCGGATTTCTCTCAGTGTATTTAATAATTTCACCTTCCATCCCATCTTGCCCTATTGCCTTATTAATTTTCAACTTATTTATTGCTTCCTCCTCTTCTTCTTCTATTACGATTTTCCTTCCTTCTCCTCTTATTCTTTGTTTCTTAGCTCCACTCATCTCCACATAATATTGCGTTCATTCCTCAATTTTAATGTTTTTATTTATTTGTTTCTCCTTCCTTCTTTCTCTATTTATGACTTCCCACTCTCTTCCGTTCTTTTACCGCATTTTCTACCTCCTCCATGAACCTTTTCTTCTCCTCTTCTTTTTTCCTTCTTACTAACTTCTCATGTTTCTTATGTCTCTTATTGTATTCTTTCCATTCTACATATTCTGTTCTCCACTCTTTAATATTATATCTCCTCATTCCCATACTACTCTCTACACACTCACTATCCCACCACCCTTTATACCTTAATTCCTTACCCTCTACATATCCCATATCCTCTGCCAATCTTTCTTCGTTCCACTTTCCAATTTTAATTCTCTTTGGTTTCACCAGATTCTTCACAATTCGCCTACTTTTCGGTTTTATCCCCTCTAATTCTACCACTAGTGGAAAATAATCTGACCCTATCTCTCTTCCAACTTTCATCTTTCTTATCCCATCCCTTCCTTTCTCATTAGTCAAGACATAGTCGATCACAGTGTTTCCTTTCCCGCAGTATGTAAAATTTCCTTCTTCATTCCCTTCAATGTTTCCATTACATATAGCCCGCCCTTCTTCCTCTAATATATTCAACAACCTTCTACCCTCCCTGTCTACTTCCTTATGTTGTGATACCCTTATATATTTTTCACTTTCTTCATCCCATACACCACCCCCTAATTCTCCAGTCCACACATTCAAATCACCTCCAATTATCACTTTATTGTCCTTTCCCTTTTCCATCCACCCTTTTAGATTTGCCCATCCCTTTTCCTCTCCTCTTCTTCTATATACTCCTACTATGTCTATGTGCTCTCTTCCAATTTAATTCTCCTTACCATACATCCCTCTTCTTCTCTCACCAAACTCTTTGTCTCCTTAATTTCCCCCCTTACCCCTGAAATCATACCTCCTGCTCCTCTTTCTTTTTGAAATTCTCTTTTTGCTCTTTCTATTTTCCATCTATACCCCTTCGGTAACTTTTTCCTTATTATCTCCCAGTCCTTCAATTCAACCCATGTTTCACAAAGCATCAGAACATCCTACTTCTCCAGTGTTTTCCAAAATCCGTCATCTTAGTTTTTCATCCCTCCTACATTTCAGAAAACCGTTTTTATTCCCGCTCTTTCCTTATACTCTCTGCTCTACTCCCTTCTCCACTCCTGTCCCAAAAAACCTTTCCTATATTTCCACTTTCACTTTCCTCCGGTGCCATTCTTTCTCTGTTCCTTTCCTCTTTAATCACTTCTCCTGTTGCTTCGCTAACTACCCACTTGACACCATTTATCCATAGACATTCCCTTCCTCTTTTCACTTGGCATCCTTTATCCCTCTCTTCCCACTTCTTTTGGTCCAATTTTCTCGAAATTACCCTTTCCTTCCATGTTTTATCCTCTTCTATTTTTCTTTTCTTCCCTTTAATTTATTTTTCGACGCCATCCCTTCTATTTTCTGCTCCTCATTTCCCAGTTGCACTACCCACACTTTAGGCCTTTCCTTGTCTTCCTTGTTTTCAATCCTACAATATCCACATTTATTCCTATCTCTCTTAATATTCTTTGGATAGTCTCTTTCCCATCCTTTCTTTCACCTTAACTACCATATATTACTTTTACAATTTTCCCTCTCTGTGCGCTCCATCCATTTAGTGACTTCCTCCATTTTTTCATCCAATTCAGTATCTCTAACCTTTTTAAATACTTGACCCTCTTTATTATCTTCTAATTCTTCTATTCTTTTCTTTACTTTTGTCACTATTTCTTTTGATTCTCTTACTTCCTCCCTCACCTCCCATAATTATTTTTCCACTTTTTATTTCCTTTCCTTTTGCTCTTTTTCTTACGCATCAAGTTTCTTATAGACTTTCTTCTTTTCCACTTTCCATCTCTTTTCCCATTCTTTGCACATTTCCCTTATCACCCCTATTTCCTTACTTAACCCTTCGCTTACTTTGTCCATTTTCTTATTCAAGTTCCTATTTTTTTTTTCCATGCCTTAACTTGTGCTTTCTCCCATTTTTTTAATCAATTCTTCTAAATCACCTAATTCTTTCGTTTGCCTCTTAGGTACCTTTCAAGACTTTTTCTCTACAGACTGACCTTAGCAATATGTTTCTATGGAATCAAAGTCGAGTTTCTAAACAATTTAAAAATATAAAATTAAAAAATATATTTAAAGTTAATTTTCTCAAAAAGGGCTCTAGCGATTATTTTCTTTTTGGTCTTAAAATACTTTTTTTGTCCTACCTGCACGGAAAGTATGTCATTTCGGGCACTTAAGGCGGGCGCAAAGTAACACATTACGCCCGGGAGTGGGGGAAGCGGGCGGAAAAGTATTTTGCGCCCGCTTGTATGACGTCAGCGGGCGGTAAAGTATTTTCCGCCCGCTTCGCCTACCTCCGAGCGGGCGGAAATACTTTACCGCCCGCTTGTTAATTATTCGATTTTCTTCATTAAAATGCGACATTTTCGACTTTCTTTTTGTGTTGACTATAAAACTGCAAACATTTTCAACTTGTTTTATTTTGTCTATAAAAATTTGCAATTTTTTTTTATTTTCTCTAAAAAAATAATGAGACATTTGGTTTTGTTTCCATTTCGTTTATCAAAATTGTCAATTTTAAAAGTTCTTGTTTCAGTTTTGTTTAATTATTAATTACTACGTTCTAAATAAATACTATGTTTCCAGAATACACTGTTTTTTATTTCTATTTTAAAACTTCTATCATTATAGACTTCATTCGATATAATGTTTATATAGAGCTTAATTTTTAACTAATATGAGCGTTTAATCGTGCGTGCCTCTATGCCATACTTTCCATGCAGTTAGGACAAAAAATTATGTTCGCATCATGGGCGCAAAGGTGATTGCGCCCTTGTTACGAAAATAACTATTAAACTTCACAGATTTAAAATTGACAAGAAAATTTCGAGTGCAGGAACTTTTTATAAAAACCCATTTCAGGCGCACCGTGAATATCTCTTAAATCAAAGAAAGCAATTTTTTTCAATGTTTACTATATTTACACATCATTTTGAAACTTCGCGCGTTTATCCAAATCAGTTCCTTTCGTTCCGCCGTTCAGAATATGATCGTAGTGAATCGTAGTCTGCTACAAGTATCACGCATGTTACCAATACATTGACAGGTCTCACAGTTCGCATATTTGTCATTAATATTTGAACAATTTACGATTTAATTCAACTTAAATAATGGATAAATCGACTATAGAATAGTTAATTTATTAATTATAAGAGTTTTTTTTAACATTTTTAGTTTTTTTATGAACTTTTTTCCACTATTTAAAGTCTAACCACCTATGTACATTTATTTTTATCGAATCTGTCAGGAATTTCAAGTAATTATTAATTATTTAGAGATTTATTTATTGCAATATATGCTAAAATCTATTCTCTAAACATCCATTTTACATATTTAACATTTTTTTTGCTATCAAACACCTTCTAAATAGTTTATTTCCACTTTTACCGTATATCTACTATATGTCTACCATTTGTCCACTTTAAAAGTGGACATATAGTAAATCCAAATCTGGCATTTATAGGGACGCATGATTATTCCCCAAATGTCATTTTACCGAACTGCACTTTTGCGAATAGTCATTTTTGCGAAAAGCCATTTTTGCGAAATGTCATTTTTACGAATAGTCATTTTTGCGACAAGCCATTTTTGCGAATAGTAATTTTAGCGAAAAGTCATTTTTACGAATATTCATTTTTGCGAATTGTTATTTATGCGAATCGCCATTTTTGCGAATCGACATTTTTACGAATCGACATTTTTACGAAATGTCATTTTTGCGAATAGCCATTTTTGCAAAAAGTAATTTTTACGAATTGTCGTTTTTGCGAAAAGCTATTTTTGCGAATTGTCATTTTTGCGAAATTTCATTTTTGAGAAATGTCATTTATGCGAATCGCCATTTTTAGGAATTGTCACTTTTCCGAAAAGTCATTTTTGCGAATTGTCATTTTTGCGAAAAATACAATAGTGAACCTATATATACCTACAAGTTTACTATTGTATTTTTCGCAAAAATGACAATTCGCAAAAATGACTTTTCGGAAAAGTGACACTTCGTAAAAATGTCGATTCGCAAAAGTGACAATTCGTAAAAATGTCGATTCGTAAAAATGTCGATTCGAAAAAGTGACAATTCGTAAAAATGGCGATTCGCATAAATGACAATTCGCAAATATGAATATTCGTAAAAATGACTTTTCGCTAAAATTACTATTCGCAAAAATGACTATTTGTAAAAATGACATTTCGCAAAAATGACTATTCGCAAAAGTGCAGTTCGGTAAAATGACGTTTCGGAAAAATGATATTTGGGGAATTAGGCCAGTCGGTGAGTGCAAAAAGTGCACAAAAGTGCAACTTGAAAAGTCTCAATAGTTTCTTGTAGTTTGGGGGCCCCATATAAGAGCCCCATGGTTTGCTCTCGATTTCCG